TCTATGATCCAAATGGTACTTCCACCATTTGCTTCCTTAGAAATTTTTTTTAACCCAAATCAAAGTAGAACTGAGTGGATTTGGGAGAAGACAACTGTCCTGACCACACTTCTCCCTCTCGGACTCATCCTTTCACATTTTATTATAATTTTTATTTTTAGAGTTAGAGTCTTACTATTAATATGTTGACCAGACTGGAGTGTAGTGGCTATTCACAGGTGTGATTATGATGTACTACATCCTTGAACTCCTGGGCTCAGGAAGCAATCCTACCTCAACCTCTGAAGTAACTGGGACTAGTGGCAGATTTTTTTTTTTTTTTTGAGTTAGAGTCTCACTCTGTCGCCCTGGATGGAGTACAGTGAAATCACAGCTCACTGTAGTCTTGAATTCTTGGGCTCAGTCGAGTCTCCTGCCTCAATCTTCCATGTAGTCTCCCACCATGCCTGGCTAATTTTTAAAATTTTTTTACAGAGATGAGGTCTCATTATATTACCCAACCTGACCTTGAACTCCTGGGCTTGAGCGATCCTTCCACCTCAGTCTCCCAAAGTGCTGGGATTACAGGTGTGAACTACCATGCCCAGCCTAATTTGATTTTCTTTTTTCTTTTGATAGAGATGGAGTCTTGCTGTTTTGCCTAGACTGATCTTAAATTTCTTAGCTTAATCCTCCTGCTTTGGTCTTCTAAAGTGCTGGCATTACAGGCGTGAGCCACCACACCTGGCCAGATTTTTTTTTTTTTTTTGCTAGAAAAGTAATATTCTCATTGTGATAAATAATTCAGACATGAATAAGAGAAAGGTTAATTACCTCTTGTACTACTTTAGTCTTAACTTTCTGAGGTAACCAACATTAAAATCTGGGTGTTATCCTATTACATCTTTCTGGATGGCTTATTAGCTATGTGTCTGTCTTTGGAGAAATGTCTGTTCAAATCCTCAGCAGCTTAAAATTTGCTTTGTGTCTTTTTATTTTATTATTTTATTTATTTTATTTTATTTTTTAGTTAGAGTCTCACTCTGTCACCCAGACTGGAATGCAGTGGCACAGTCACAGCTACAGCAGCCTCGACCTCCTAGGCTCAGGCAAACCTTCTACCTCAGCCTTCCAAGTAGCTGGGACTATGGATGAATGCCACCACACCTGGCTAATTTTTTTTTTATTTACTGTAGAGATAAGGTCTCGTCATGTTGCCCAGGCTGGTCTTCAACTCCTGTACTCAGACAATCCTTTAGCCTTAGTCTCCCAAAGTGCCAGGTGTGAGCCACTGTGTCCAGCCTTGTTTCTTTTTTTGAGTTGGATTTTCATTCTGTTGCCCAGGCTGGAGTGCAATGGCACGATTGCAGCTACTGCAGTCTTGACCTACTATCCTTCTGCTTCAGCCTTCCAAGTAGCTGGAACTACAGGTGCGCACTACCACGTCTGGCTGATTTTTTAAGAAAATTTATTTATTGTAGAGATTAGATCTCGCCAAGTTGCCCAGCCTGACCTTGAAGCCCTGAGCCTCTGGCAGTCCTCTTGCCTCTACCTCCCAAAGTGCTAGGATTACAGGTGTGAGCCACCGTGCCTTGCTCCTTGTGTCTTTTTATTATTGACTTCTAACAGTTCTTTGTATATACTGGATACAAATCCCTTATTAAATACATGATTTGCAAATATCTTCTCCCATTCTTTAGGTTGTCTTTTCACTTTCTTGGTGATATTGTTTGTAGCTCAAACATTTTTGTATAAATTCTATAATTCAGCTTATGTATTTTTTTCTTTTGTTATATATTGTTGTCGTAGCTAAGAAACCATTGCCTTACCCAATGAATTATTAGAGTTTTAGTCTTAATTCTTACATTTAGGTCTGTGATCTATTTTGAGGTTTTGTTACGGTGTGAGGTAGGGGGTCTAACTTTATTCTATTGCATGTGAATATCCAGCGTCACAGCACCATTTGTTGAAAAGACTAGTCTTTCTTCATTGAATTGTCTTATCCTTGTTGAAACCCAGTTGACCATAAATGTAAGGGTTTATCCTGAACTCTAAATTCTTGTCCCTTGATCTGTATTTTTATCTTTATGCCAATACTACACAGTATTGTTTTGTTTTTTTATTTTATTTTATTTTATTTTGTTTTGTTTTGGTTTGGTTTTGGAGTCAGAGTCTCACTCTGTTGCCCAGGATAGAGTACAGTGGCATGATAACAACTTACCACAGCCTAGACCTCCTAGGCTCAGGTGATCCTTCTGCCTCATCCTTCTGAGTAGCTGGGACTACAGGAGCACACCACCACCCCTAATTAATTTTTCTGATTTTTTGTGGAGACGATCTTTCTCTGTTGACTAGGCTTATCTCAAACTCCTGGGCTCAAGTGATTTCTGGCCTCAGCCTCCCAAATTGCTGGGATTGCGTGTGTGAGCCACTTTACCCAGTCCACACAGTGTTGATTACTGCAGCTTTATGTAATATGCTGTTGTTGTTATTATGGGGAATCGGTTTTCTTGGACTTCAGAAGGGCAGGATTATTCAGTATACTTAGCATAACTCTAGTGCTCCCTTTTCTGTTGCTTTTCTGAAATGTGTTCAAAAATAGGGTTTCATGATTTCTAAGATCTGGCTGTTTCTTCTGCTTTATTGGGACTATCTCTTTCTTTTACTTCTTGTATTCATGTGCTACACAATTTAAAATCTCTTCCCAGTAGATTATACTATAAAGACCATAAAAATAAAAAAAACTAGTCCCTGGTCCTGCTACCCACACCATCCCTTTTGACAATTTTTATAAACAGATAATATATATATTTAGGGATTGGGCACGGTGGCTCATGCCTATAATCCCAGCACTTTGGGAGACCAAGGTGAGGATTGCCTGAGCCCACGGGTTCAAGACCATCCTGGGCAGCTTAGCAAGACTTCATCTCTACAATAAATCAAAAATGTAACCAGGCATGGTGGCGTGTGCCTGTGGTTCCAGCTACTTGGAAGACTGAGGCAGAAGGATCACCTGAGCCCAGCAGGTCGATGCTGCAGTGGCCATGAGCATGCCACCACACTCCAACCTGGGTGACAAAGTGAAACTCCAACTCAAAAAAAAAAAAAAAAAATATATATATATATATATTTAGGAGCCTTCAAAGGTTGAGTAAAGTGAAAGTCTTCCCTCATCCTTATCTATTAAGAATTTCAGGAAATTCCTTTCAGGAAAAACAAGTATGCATAAATCAAAATATATATAATTATATGCTTTAAAATATTTGTTCATAGCGGGCATGGTGGTCACATCTGTATTCCCAGCACTTTGGGAGATTGAGGTGAGAGATTTGCTTGAGCACATGGGTTCAAGACCAGTTGAGCAACTTGGTGAGAACTTATCTCTATAATAAATCAAAAAATTACCCAGGTGTGGTGG